CACAGGGGAGAAACCCTATGAATGTAATGAATGTGGGAAAACTTTCTCCCAGAAGTCATATGTCAGTGCACATCAGAGAATTCATACAGGGGAGAAGCCCTATGAATGTAATGAATGTGGGAAACCTTTTGCCCATAATTCAACCCTCAGAGTACATCAGAGAATTCACACAGGTGTAAAATCCTACAAGTGTAATGAATGTGGGAAAACTTTCTCCCAAAAGTCACACCTTAGTGCACACGAGCGGATTCACACAGGAGAGAAACCCTATGAATGTAATGAATGTGGGAAAGCTTTTGCCCAAAATTCTACTCTCAGAGTACACCAGAGAATTCACACAGGGGAGAAACCCTATGAATGTAATGAATGTGGGAAAACTTTTGTCCGTAAGGCAGCCCTTAGAGTACATCACAACAGAATGCACACCAGAGAGAAAACCCTTGCATGTAATGAATCTGGGATGTCCTAAAGGAACTCATATAACACAGTGGAGAAGGTCATGGCACATAGACTGGCAAGTTGTTTCCTTTAAGTATTTTTTTTTGTACTAGCCACATAGTTTGTCTAAATTTTCCAGTCCAGCTGGGTATGGTCATAGAATATAATGCTATTACATTTAAGGTAGGTCTGGCTTTAAAACGCCACCTTATATTGTTCCTGTCTGTTATACTGGAATGGAGAAATTTCCATGGCTGTTTATTGAACATAGAATACAAGGTTAAAGAAGCTAGAGTAATTGGGTGAAACAAGTCTCCATTAACAGATCTTCACCAGTGAATTGTGGGGGTTTTTTTGTTTGTTTGTTTTTAGCAAGAAATAAGTTTGTACTTTGTTGAGCTCTTACAGATTTGGGTCTATTGGTTAAATGCATATAGCTTAGGCAACTGTCTGTTAGAGTGGGAAGGAATCCAATAAATATAATAAATGTTAGAAGACCTATCAGAATTCAAGTTATCATTGTACATCAGAGACTTTGCATGAGGAAGAAAACTTCTGTCAATGTGCTGAATAATAAGAAGACTCCATTAAAAATCAGAGAACTCTCAGGGAAAAACTCAAAAGCCTTTACTGCCAAGTGAACTTCATTAAACATGAAATAATTAAGATTAGACTAAAATCTTGTATTTTGGTAACTAATTTTTTAACACATACTGAGCTTGCATCAGATAATTTTTTCTGAGGAAATGTATCAGTGTAAGAGTTGAAGATAAATTCTTCACCTAGAACTGATATACCAAAACTTGTGATTTGTATGTAATATAAAGTTTTATAGAAAATATAGAAGAAAATATTTACCTATGCACAAATACTGTGGAATGTGAAGTTTTAAAGATGGAACAATAACATGAATTCTGTAGACACCACCAATAAATGTTTGTGACTAGTCTCTTAGCTATGTGGTACATCTGTATGAGTATGTAACAGATTTCATTACTACTTCTAGTAGGAGGCAGTAGCCAAACCTGCTGTGTACCTGTTCACTTTCCCTTTTTGAGTGACAGTCTATGTGCTGCTTCTGTTGGCTTCCCTTAGGTTAATGCTGTTAGATTTTGGCCTGCCTGCTATGTCTGAATATTGGTCTGGCCCTGTTTTTGTAGGACCTTGTTGATCCATGAGATTTCTCAAGGATTCTAGTGTGTGTGCACGTGCATGCATGTACCCGCACATGTGTGTAGTAGTTGGTGATTCTTACATGCTCTTTGGCCTTCATTTTATGCCATCTAGTGATTCATTTTGCGCTAATTAAAAAGCAGGTCATTGTCTTAGGCCTCTGGTATGCATGTAGCCTGAGCTTCCTGTCTAGGATCTTTTCTCAACCCCATGGTGCTTGCTCACGTGCAGCATTGCAAACTGGTTAATTTCTACCCTTCTTGGATAGCACGTTTTAGAATTGGAATAAAATCAGGGTTACTTTCATGTCAGAAGCACCACGTTGGTATTAAAAAGCACTCACATTTTGTGGAAACAATATAGTATAGTCTTAGTCAAGGAAATATTTGGTCAATCTAACATCCTTTCAGCCTACATGGTTTGGTCAGCACAGAGAAGTAACTGAAATTCCCATTTTTAAAACCTGAACCACTAAAAACTCATCTCACCCCTGGACATATTGCTTTCTATGAGTATGATCTGGTACAGGGGCTGGCAAACGTTTAAGACAGAAGAGTCAATCCTATCCCTCACAACAATTTAACAATTATTCGAGAGCCATAAAACAAATGAAATCACCATTATGTGAATAATATCCTTTTAAAAATTTATAAATGAAACTATGATCATTTTCTTTTCATTTTCAATTTTACTTCAGAGTCCCATGTATATACCCTAAGAGCCGCATGTGGCTCACCAGCTGGTTAGCTAACCCCTGATCTGGTAGATTGAGTATGTGGAAAATAATCAGGTCAGTTGATTCCGTGGTAATTTTTCTATTCTTCATCTTGTATTGATACGGTGTGAGGGAAAATGATGTTATAACTTTAGCACTAATTGGAGAACAGCTATTTTTTTGACACTGGCTTATCATCACTTAACTTAGTGGCATCCCTGCCAAAGACAAGAGCCGGGAGTAAGAGTCCACTGCTTGATGAAGGCTGTATCATGGGATCACCAGGGCTAGCACACCACAGGCTGGATCAGCACTTCTGGAAGGAGAGTTTCAGCAACTGAGAGAATATGTTTGCCTCTCCTCAGTCTTTTGACACCTTGATACAACGTGAGCTTATTGCACAAACAAAACGGAAATGAAAGTCAAAAAGCATCTTGTTCTATACATGCTTGATTTTTCAGAAAACTGTTGATTTACAGAAAACTAAAGGAAATTAACCTGGAGTACTTTAAAAGTATTTTAAAATTCACTTCAGTTTATAATAGTTGTAGATGTAAAGAAAAGTTATAACTAATTCCTATATGTTCTTCACACAGTTCCCCTTGTTAACATTTTTTATTACAGTAGTATATTTGTCATAACATTGATACATTATTAACTAAACACATTTTTTTTTCTGTTTTACTAGTTTTTCTTCAGTGTTTTTGTATTCCAAGATTTTATCTAGGATACCACATTACACTTAATTGTCATGTCTCCTTAGCTTCCATTGGTCTATGACAATTGCTCATGCCTTCCATGCTTTTGATTACCTTGACAGTTGAGTACTTGTCAAGTATTTTGTAGAGTATCTCTCAGTTTGGGTTTTCAGTATCTTTTTTTTTAATGATTGCACTGGAATTACAGGGTGGTTGATTTTTTGTTTGTTTGTTTTGTTTTTTGTAGGAAGACCACATTGGTTAAAAAAAACAACAACAAAATATTCTTATATCACTAGCATATGCTATCAACCTGGATAATCACTGACAATGCTAAGCTTGATCAGCTGGTTGAGGTATTGTCCCTCAACTCAAAAGCATGTATAGCAAGCACCATATTGGCACTTGGTAAAGATTTCTTTTATAAATTATTAGTTCATCAAGTTGTACATAAGATCTGAATTTTTTTATATGATTCTGATTTTAATGTTCAAAATAATATAAACAGGTTAAAAACTAGAGCACCCAGAATTTAAAAATCACTTGAAGTGGATCCAGTTCACAGTCCAAATTTTAGGTTTTAGTGTATATTGGAATATCAATGAATCATTGCTCTTTTCTTTGTTCCCCAGGATTTAACTTCAGGATTTTATTTGTCTTCACATGTAGTCATGAGAGTGGTGCCCATTTCTTAAACACCTCTTAATCCTTGGATTTTGGACTTAAAGTAGTAAAAGGACTGAGAGTTTGTCTGCATTTTATGAGCCAATCAATATAGAGGTTATTATATTAACCCAGATAACAACAGGAGATACAAAGAATGAACAGCCATGATAACTAAGAAATCTATGATGAGAGGAGAAATAAGTTAAGTCAGGCTTGAGAGCAGGATGGTATCAAAAGTCAAATGCCTGCATAGGGTTTTTTAAAAGCGTTGATAAACTATGATTCTAGTAAGAAGATTTAAAAGGAATGGGTGTGTTATCGTTAGATAGAAAAGTTTGGACATGTAGACCATAGGCAGATGACATAACAAGATAGATACATAAAGGATTAGGAGCAGATGGTCACTCCCAGATAATAGCTTAATAGTTAAACCATGGAAGGATAATAGAGAAGCAAGTGAAGCAAGAACACATGGGCATATGTTATTGCTCACATACAATGCATATCATCAAACATCAGTGTGGATAAAAATTTAGTAGGAACTTTTATAAAAGCAACATCTCTGGGAGAACTATATTGAATGACGTACATGTGGAAAAGTTCTATTGATTAAAAAATATGCTCTCAAAACAAGCATGCACCTCTGATAGAAGATAATAACCCAACAGCACAGGTAGAATGTAATCATGTCCCTACTGTGATAAACAGGAATAAGATTATTAGCCTGTTCAGGAAATCAGAGAAGATTATTGGTGGCCAGAGTGCCTATGAATCCAAAAGAAATAGAAAATAGCAAGCACACTGACAAAGCCAGCAGAGAAAGGGAACAAAAGGGACCACTGAATAAACATGAAAAAAAAACCCCAAAAAACTAGATTATACATGCCTTATGGATAAATTAACTCGTGTGAGAGAAAAAGGTCACACATTGAGAAACGGCCACAAGGCTCAAAACTACAGAAGTGCCCCATTCCAAACAATGTAGTGCACTAACATTGACAGCTAAATAGGGTGAAATTGCTAAAGAAGACTCATGGAGTCAAAATGGCAATACTTACAAATCTACAATTTATTAAGGAAAAAGGGTGCCTCACAGCACGGGGTTAGGATAAAGGCCAGGCATAAGCTCCCATTTTCTCCATTGAACAGATATAATTTCACTGTCAGATAAGACCCAACATGCACAGAACTCACCAGAAACCAAAAATGTATTCACTGCTGAGGTTCCTTATAACACGATGGATCTGTAGGCATGTGATTGCTATGTAACCTGCCCCAACAGCAGAGGACGATGAAGGTCTCAGAACAGGTGTAAATTATCAATTGAGTTGTTATCAATAAACACTGCTGATAAGCTGTTAAAACCTGCCACCATACATCTTGGATCCATCGTTACAAAGCAACACTATTTTCGTTCTTTGAGTAATGAATAGTCAAGTACAGATACTTTAGCTCAGGCCTATTCAGGTCTGCTGGACTTAACTCTCACAGCACAGTTCTCCCCCTCATTGTTGGTTAAAGCCTTATACCAAAAAAAAAAAATAGTTTGACAGCATTCAGGTTGTTGCCTTTCAACAATATGTAATCAAATAGACAAAACGCACATACAGATTTTAAAGAGTTGTACTAACCAGTGAGGGGTTGTATAATTTAAGCCATCCTATAATCCTGGCACAAATTGTCTCATATTTTAATATTTTTACCCTTTTTCTGGGCCTCCCTGAGCTATAGCTGTCAGCACTTCCTGTTATACACTTGTTGAATAAGAATCCTAATCAATCTGTTATCATTTAAGTCTAAATCTTCTTTAGGCCCATTCTACTCCATAGACATAATGTTCCATGAAATGAGAATTGGTATCATTCACAGAGTCATCATCTGAGCTCTAATCTGTTCATTGATAAGGAGGACATAGATCAATCCTGGAAGTATGCTTATTAGATTGGCCATTGTACAGCTTCTTCATGTCGTTAAAGGTGGAGGAAGTTTGGGCAGTCTTTTGCCCCAAGAGGTATCTCAGCCTAAACTCAGAGAGCACATTTTCCACTTGTTCTAAGCCTCTCTTAAGGCACCAATATTATATTACTTACTTTTGCAACACCCATTTGTTGGCTCCCCTCCACTCAGCAACAATCTCACATTGCCCCCATTTACCATTAATTTTAAAATCAGCCTTTACCCTTGAAGTCAGTGATATGATGGTAGCAAGTTGAGAAGACCAGGGCTTCCTCCTTGAGCCATTTCCAGTCACACAGAGATGGGTTTGATAAGTACAGAGAAATATGGCTATCCCATCCACTAGGCAACAAAACATGTGCATAGTCAGGCCCAAGTTGGTGAAATACAGAGAGAAGATTATCCATCCCTTGAATTCCTTTGGAATTTGTCAAAGTAATAGACATAGTCTGGTTTTAAAATGTTTCTAGACTCTTAGACCTTAATTTTAGCCCCATTATAAGGGCTTCCAGATCTGGTATTGAAAAAGAAAATTGTTGCAAAATAGGGATGTGTTCTTTGTGAACTCCTTTTTCATCCCCTGTGCTACAGACTGAATGTTTTTATCCCCTCAAATCCACACTTTGAAGCCCTACCCTCTATTGTAATTTAAAGTGTGGGACCTTTGAGTGTCTATAATAGTGAGCATTTATTAAACACATACATAACACATTATACAGGTACTGGGAATATGCCCCTCCCATGTG